GAGTCTTTGAGAGATCAGAAGACAATCGCAAATCAACTGAAGAAGTTCAAGAAGCAGGAAAAGAAGAGTAGAGGACACATTCCGCCATGTCTCAAGGAAGCCATTTCCTTGGAGAAACTAATTGCTTTAGGCTGGGAATTGAGAGACGCACACTTTTCCACCATGTGTTTCATCGTGTTGACACTCACTGGGAGAACTTCAGGAACTAGAGGACACTGGTTCTAATCTATCACTAGTGGGAAACACATTCCAGCGCACCAAACTTGGATTCCGCAGGTCTTCTGAGGGGGCTACCTGTGAAATTTGACATTTTCTCCTCTCAGGGGGGAGGGACGTTTGATTTGTGATGCACCACAGGGGGGCGGCAGTAATGGTCTCCCAACAGAGTTCCTCCCTACAGGGGTGTGATGATTATGGTCTCATCATGGAGTTTCATCCCCACAGGGGTGTGATGATAATGGTCTCCCCATGGGGTTCAATTATCTCACCAGCTCTGGGAAAGGTTGGAAAGATCTTCAGGTATGTTGATCGAACTTGGTCGGATTTTCGAAAACGCTTCCGGGGGTGGCGTTAAAATACTTCTTCGCTGTCGAGAATTACGATGAATTAGGCTTCACATCCATTTGTCTGGCACCTCCTTTTATGTCAAACTAGAACCACATACAGTGAAGGGGGGAGAGAACAGGTGTAAGTCACCTGTACAAGTTGTCACAGGGCAGACAAATTATAGAGGGCCTGCAAGGGGGGGTCCCGACAACGCTCTACACGGAATTTGGAAACCTCTTGATCACGCTTTACGATAAATTCCAAGTGGCTACAACGCATTACGTAGAATTAAAACGTCGAATACGCTCTACGCAAAAATATTAGAGCGGTCCGTCTACGCTCTACGTAGAATTAAAACGGCCAATTACGCTCTACGGAAAAGGGCTTGCGGGCCCCCATTATACTCAATACAATAACTACCACTCTAAAACAAGACGAACAGAACATCCAAAAGACTCGAGAGACCACTTAACCTACACTTTCAATAGACTTGCAAACAGAATTAAAGACTTTGAAACGGCCATTCCACGTTTATATTACTTGACCCCTTCCCCATTACACTGTAATTCTAAGAGATACGAAATATGCATTAAGTCCTTGTCAAAATATTAGTTTTACCTATGATTTAACATTAGTTGTAGTATTTTACTCTTTAACTGATCACAAATCAAATGCATGTTCGCAAAGAGTAGACATTGACATGTAGAAAACTATGCTTTAGATCTCATCCGACCAGTTTTCTATGTTACATCATGTTGCCATTATCTATGCGTTACCTGACTACACAAACATCACAATAACCAGTCCTTATCATCCCAAATTTGAAGTGGGGTGTTTCTGACAGGGTCAGCTCAGATGAAAGCCATTCCTACGGCATGAGCAGTTCACCATGGTGTGAAACGTGTGTGCTGGGCAGAACAAAGGCTATTGCTGGCTTCTTGACTAGGTTGATTAGGCCACACCATCTTAATTTCTTGGTTAACGGATTTTTAAAAACAGAACAATAATGGAGCAGGCGGGCGAAAAAAAAAATAAAAATAAAAACACTAGGCATCCTATTATGGCCCAAAATGGTACGATAGGAGCCATGAAGTCAACACACCAGGCTGGTTCAAAATTTAAACAATGAATTTTGAACTTTTAATGATACTACTGCATTAAAAGATGGAATAACTGTAACAACTAGGATGGAAAGGACTGTTTTTAACTGTTCAGGGCAAAATATGAGCATTTTGCAGTTGATTCTGAATTTTTATTTTTATTTGCAAATCAGAAAAAAATGAAGCGGGCGAATCCGTTAACCAAGAAATTTAATTGGTGTGGCCTTATCTATGTCATAAATGATTTCAAATAGAATTGGGACCCAAAGGAAACAATCTACTGATAGCTTTTTTTATGCTAGCTGTTGAAACTAAAAGGATCTTTGTTACTGTAAATCTTGAAAGATTTGCTATGGTTTTACATTTTGTATTTTTGCAGTTCCAGTCCTTATAGAAGAAAGCCGTATCCCATTGTACAATAAAATGTACTTGATGGTCAGAGAAGAAAAAATTCCCCTTTTTTTATACTTATTGGATCTAAAAAATAAAAGATATCTTTTCATTCTTTAGTATTTATAGCTGCAAGATTCTGTTTTACGTTAAACATTCAGCATGTTGAAGAAACCATTTGGCTACCAATTTTCTTTTCAGAAACTTAAATATCTGCTTGGTTTTCTGTTCCCAAACCAACCCACCAAACTTTGTGCTTCAATTGGCCTCAAACTCAAAGAGAAAGAGCAAAGACCTGCCCGCCAATATCTGATGGACGATCTTTAAAAAAAAAGCACTCAGTGCCATGTTTGGACTAATCTCCCACTTCTGAGCTTCATTTTTCAACCGAGAATTAAAAACTACTTGAGAATAAGTTACAAACACATAAACATCTTGATTGCTATCTGATAGCGCTAATCCTCTTTACATATATATGAATGCTCCAAGACTGACTCCTTTTTTTAGGTACAACAAAAACAAGCCTCTAGAAAACAATATAAATGAATATTTAATAGCGGTGTGAGTTGACCTCTTTGCACGAATAACTGCTGATAGTGCACTAGTTCAACGTAATCAACCTTTGGTATATCAAAAAGCGTGTGCCTAGGGGTTGCATAATATGTCAATCTTAACGTTTACATATCTAAAAAAGATCCGTTGAGCCTGGATATTAATATAATAACAGGATACCATTACTGTTTATTCAACCACCTGGGCTGCAGCTGCCAGAGTTTGTGCAAGATAAAAAGTATTTTTCGTTTGCTTAGGAAAATTTCAGTCAAACACCAAGTTCATAAAGTTTAATACGTACTGTAAATATACTAGAATAACCTTTGGTACTCTAATTTTTTTTTAAATTAATGTAGACCTTATTGTATATAAGCAGGAGTTTTCAACACTTTCTTTGATGATAGAAGGAATTCTTGTAGGCTTTCCTCTTCCTGTGTTTGACTTTAGAGTCTAAGACATTGAGCTGTCCTTATTTCCCATCCACTAACTGGTCATCCTTTAGGAATTTAGGAGGAAATTGGCCCTGATTCGAAAGATTTTCTTCACTAAGTCTCCAAAACTTACATGTGCCGCGACCGTCTGTTCTTTGTAATACATGTACCAACAGAATCTTCATTAATCAAATGAAGGATAGAGAGTCATCTAGGACTGGTCTGGTAAGGTACAATTAAACATAAACTTTTCACCTTTATAATGATTGGAACATAAACTTTTCACCCTTATGGATACTCTTAATACAATGAATCATATATAAACACTACAGGGCTGGTCAGCGTAATAGAATTAGATTCCTACTGGTACTACATTCCTATTTGAGTCATATACAATTGTACAATCACAAAAGTATCTTGCAAGAAAAATGCACAAAGTCCTCAGAAAATTTCAAATTCTTAAAAGACAATTCACTACACTTTTTTATTGACAGCTTACAACCATGTAAACATATATCATCTTGTCCGATGCAATTTGTACGTAATTTATCAACGGTAGCATACTAGTAACTTTTTTCTGCATATGCAGCTCTTTTTCTTCTTTTTCAAGAAAAATCAAAATGAATCCAAGAAAAAAGAAAAGCAGATGCAGAGAATATTAATGAGAGAATGTTCCCAAGTTGACAGCCATGTCCTACATGGGGGCTAAACTGTAGTAGTGCTGTGAGCAGGGTCAGGTCACCGAGGGGTCAGTCCTAGAGGGGGTCCTGAACTATTGGTTCTGGCTGGTTGGTTACAATTAAGATGTCTTCAAGGAAGGAAGGTCCCTATATCTATCTTCTGACTCACAGGTATTGTACAGTAGTAGGGTGACAAAAGGTAAAAAGAAAAGTTTTTCTTTAAGTAAAAAAAAATTTGTACACTCTGAAACTTTGTATATTTCTACAATGATATAAATGAAATAAAATTCAAAAGCAATCAACTTTAAACAGTAGCTTTTCAAGGTTTATTAAAACAGAAAAGTTGTTGCCAAAACTAAAAAGCTGTTACTCCCTTCAAGAAAAAGACAACTCTGTTCAAATTATTAACCTTCAGCCTGTTAAGGTAGCCACTTGGCACAAAAATTGTACGCTCTATGTGGTCAAGCAGCAGGGAGAAAGTTAATAGAGCAGCTAATTGTTCAAAGAGATGCTACGAAAGGTTCTTTCAAACAAAAGACATTGTTCTACGACATATGGAACACAACTGCTTTCAAGACTTTACCAAGGAACTGTTCACCATTCAACACAGACCTAGCTACCTCCAGGTTTGGGAGACATCATTTTAAACAATTAAACATTCGGAGTGGGGATACAGTTGCAAACCAAACGGATGCTTCAGTCAGAACCAGTGTTTTTCCTGTGAAGTACAAGAGAACCACCTGCAAGTCAAGGCTAGGAGGAATCCGAGGTTCCAAAGTCAACATAAATCACCCAGGCTGGGATGTTTTGTCAGGAGAGGGGGTGAGTAAGGGTGGCGTTGGCCTTTTGGAAAGAGCGCTGTAACTCCTGAGGGAAGAGGCTGGTATAGACAAGTCTTGGCAAGGACCTTCATTTTACTAAAACTTAAAAGGTACCGTAAACCCTAGTCCAGTAGCCTGCAGTCCAGTGGTTTGCAACCCTGCCACTGGACCAAGAGGATGGAAGTTCGAATCCCGACTTATGTCGACATGCACACTACTGGAAAGGGTCCTTAGTCCATGGCCACTGTTCATTGTGCTTGACGAAAAAAGCTAGGGGAATTTCCGCAGTACAATGAACCTGTAAATACATAGTGCCTGTCTTCTCTGTCATGACCAGTGGTGGGTTGACTTTTAGTGAGCTGAAACTTAGTTGAGATCACTTTCCTTTTTCCTAGTCAAACAGAAATTGGTCGTAACAGAACAGGGCAATGTATGTGAGCAAAAATCTAGGATGACTTGATTAAAAAAACAAACTCTCACCTCTGTCTTCGGCCGTAACAATGAGGAGGAATTCTGATTGGTCCTCCCTGTCCAGCATACGCAGCAGGGAAATCCTTCCGTCGGAGGACGTTATCGAGAACCTGCCGCCCTTGTCGTCGGGGAGGTAGTAATCCACCTGGCCCATCGTTCCCGAGTCTTCATCCTGCGCAGAGATCTGCGTGACGAACTGGGGCACGTTGTTGTCGTTTTCCATGACGTGCGCGACGAAAGGAGAGTTGAGGAACAGCGGGACGTAATCGTTGACATCCGTGACGGTGATGGTGACGGTGGCGAGGGCTTCTAATGGAGTGGCGCCCTGGTCACGCGCTCGAACGACGAGGTCGTACCCAGTGGTTCTCTCGTGGTCGATGAGTCTGGCTACAGAGATACGGCCCGTGACTGCGTTGATAGCGAGATCGTTGTCGGTGTTCCCTCTAACGATGCTGTACCGTACCACGCCATTTGTACCCTCGTCAACATCGGCTGCGACGACTTGTACCAGCTCCGTGCCCACTGCAACATCCTCCAGAACCGAGACGTCGTAGGATACCGGTCCAAACACGGGGTTGTTGTCGTTTCTATCCAACAGGTTTATGGTGAGGTCCATGGACGCAGACATTGGCGGCCTTCCTTTGTCTGTGGCGGTGACGGTAACAACATAAAATGGCGTCGCCTCTCTGTCGAGATCTCCGTTCACCCTCAACTGTCCAGTTACGGAGTCGAGCACGAACTTATTCCCCGGTACGGATGCCATGGAGTATTCCACATAGCTGTTGCGTTCTTCGTCAGGGTCCTCGGCCCTGATCGTCATAACGACGGTGTTGATGGGGCTGTTCTCGTAAACAGATGTTACGTTCGGCGTGACGAACCTGGGAGGGTTGTCATTGATGTCGTTGACGATGATTTCGACCTGAGCCGTGCTGGACAGCCGCATATACGCGGGAATGGCACGGTCCGTTGCCATGACTACCAGGTTGTAGAGGTAGTTCTGCTCACGATCGAGAGCTGCAGCCGTCACGATGGTGCCGTCTGATTGGATGCTGAACTGATCGTTGGGGTCACCTGACACAATACTGTAGTCGATCTCTGCATTGGGTCCTACGAAGGAAAAAACAATGTTGAAACTTTCTATACATTGCAAGTCTATATTAAAGTAAATTTTTAACACAAATTTCTAGCCCTAACTGCTTATGTTTATTTGTAATTCAAACTAGGTGAAATACAATGTGAAATGTGCAAATAAAATATACACATGTATATTTTATTATTTATTCAACCAAATTTTCCTTCTCCCCAAAAAGTACAAAATGTAATAATGTCTGTTTTAATTAAAATTCTTTTTATCCTGTGTTAAAAAATGCATTAATTAAAAACCACCTCACACCTGCTATATTCCCTACTTCATACATGTACTCAGACTCAGAGAGATAGTCTCAAATTAATTGCCAATCTCCAACCAAATTAAATCTGAATGGCATCTGCAATTCCCCTCTAGTACAAGACAAAGTAGATTACCATTTCCATTATGGCGGCCACTCAAAATGTCCGGGCACTTCTTTGCCCCAAATCAGTTCTGTAAATTATACATTACGACTTGATCCTGGCCAAATTTGGGCGAATAGATTGGTTCAAAGCCCCAAAAAGCCATCATCAACCTTGTTCATGTAGTAATGAAATGCAGCCAATTTATCCTAGGGCCACACCAATTTAATTTCTTGGTTAACGGATTTTTCTAGAAAAATAATGGAGCGGGCGGGCGAAAAAAAATAAGAATAAAAACAGGCCTAGGCATCCTATTATGGCCCAAATGGTACGATAGGAGCCATGAAGTCAACACACCAGGCTGGTTCAAAATTTAAACAATGAATTTTGAACTTTTAATGATACCACTGCATTGAAAGATGGAATAACTGTAACAACTAGGATGAAAAGGACTGTTTTCAACTGTTCAGGGCAAAATATGAGCATTTTGCAGTTGATTCTGAATTTTTATTTTTATTTGCAAATCAGAAAAAAATGAAGCGGGCGAATCCGTTAACCAAGAAATTAAATTGGAGTGGCCTAGGGTCTACACGTAAATGTATGCATAACTTCATGCATTTTACATTCACAGAGGGTGTAGCAATCTAGGAAATGTTTCTATCAAGGGTAATTTAACATTGCGACAAGGTCTGACAGTAAAATTGAACGACCGAGAGCGAACACAACCCATCGTACATTAATGAAATGAAATGATCTTTATTGCATATCCTTGCCCAGACGGGCTAAATGCATACATGCTTTGTCACAGTATAAAATACATGTGGTGCATACATACATAATGTATGTTTGAGTTCTATACTAGGATTCTAAGTACTACATAATTCTTAAAGTTACTGTTTGTCTATTTTTTGGTTCTGGTTTCTTCTCTCTTCTTGAAACACTTATTGATATAATCACACACTTTTTCTACAATGTGTTCATTTCTGCTTGACATAAGATGTATAAATCTATTTTGCTTGGACAGTTTCTTATATTTCTTGTCTAAATCTAGTACATTAAATAACACCTTACGTTCATTTTCATATAAACTACAATCAAGTAAAAAGTGCGACTCGTTTTCTACATATAGATGATCACAGAATTCGCACGTCCTATCGTTCAGAGGGGTACGGTTGTGCCTACCGGATTCTATATGTAAGGGATGGTCACTTATACGAAGTTTGCACATGGTTTTTCGATGTTCGAAGTTTGTAATGTTTAAATATGTTTCTCTTTCATAGTTCAGTTTAAATGTTTTGTATGTTCTTAATTTGTTGCCTTGGTTTTCTCTTCGTCCTTCTGCTTGTAGTTCTGAGTAGAACTTTTGGATGTGGATATCTTTCAATCTCTGTTTTAGTTCTTTTAGATGGGAGGGTGTGTTTAAGTGACCGTTTAAATACAGGTAGGCAAAACCGGACTCCTCTAACAGTTTCTTTACATCAGATAACCAGCAGGGTATATTTCGGCGAACTAGCTCTTGTTGTACTGTATAGGCTTCATATTGTAAACTACTTGGGAGCACTTCGTTAACTAGTCTAAAATAGTAATTGTACATTCGGCAATGGGCCTCTATCTGTAAGGGGAAACGTCCTAGTTCCGCTCTACATGCGGAGTTACTGGCGTTCCTACGGACACCAAGAATGTATTTACAAAATTTCAGATGTACAGTTTCTAATGGCGATTTGTCGTTCAAACTGTTACTGCCCCAAACTTCGGAGCCATACAGTAATATCGGTACAACACATGTGTCAAACAGTTTACAGTGTAATGATACAGAGGATCTGGTTTCTCCGAGAGTACTTCTGATGTTAAACATTGCTCTTAGGGCCCTCTTTTGTAAATTTTTCATGGCAGTGCTAAATGTACATCCTGCTGTAAACACAACTCCTAGGTAGCAGTATGATTGAACTATCTCTATCTCTTTATCATCTAGTGAGAAACGAAGGTTAGAAAATAAGAGGCCTCTTTTGTTGAATATCATTACTTTAGTTTTTGCCAGGTTGATAGTTAACTTCCATTGTTTGCAGTACCGTCCAAGGGTGTTTATTGCTTTCTGTAATCCCTGCTCACTTTCCGATAATAAGACGATATCATCGGCATAAAAGAGGCTAGTAACTTTGGAATGTTCTAGTAGGGGTGCGTCTAGGTTTTCTGCGTTGAGTTTATCTATGAGATTACTGATGTATAGGTTGAATAGGGTTGGGCTTAAAACACATCCTTGGCGAACACCAATTTCAACGGGAAAACTTTCAGTTAGGCCTTCTTTAGTTTTAACACTGGCCTCAGATTGGTTGTATAGGTTTTAATTACATCGAAAAATTTGCCTGACATGTCATTGGAAAGAAGCTTGAATAAAAGTCCCTCGTGCCAAATGGAGTCAAAAGCTTTTGACAGGTCGACAAAACATGCGAATAATCGTTTTCCCGACTGTGTGTATTTGGAGATAAGGGTTTTTAATATGAAGATGTTATCTGCTGTCCTATAGTTTTTCGGAATCCGGTTTGGTTTGGTTTTGTGATTTCTTTTCCTTCGAGGAAGGTTGAAAGTCTTTTGTTTAAAATCGAGGAGAAAAGTTTTCCTAAGCAGCTGGAAATGGCTATTCCACGATAATTGTTTTGGTCGTCTTTTCGCCCTGTTTTGAAGATGGGGACGATGTAACTTCTCGACCACATTTTGGGGAAAATTCCTGATGAGAAGGTACTATTAAAAAGTCTTAAGAGAGAGGTTAATAGGATATGTTTTCCTGCTTTCAGCATTTCATTGGTGACCATGTCATCCCCGCTGGCTTTTTTGTTTTTGAGGGCGTGAATTGCATCTTTAATTTCAGAGGCAGTGATTGGTTGGTCCAAGGGTCCTGGACTTGGCTTATATTTTTGGAGTGCCTGAAGTTTGCGCAAAATTTCAATTTCAATATCAATTTTAATATCCAACCGTCCACGGATGGATGAAACACCTAATTAACAACTCCATTCTCGGATCCATTACAACCAGGGAGATAAAAATGAAGACTAGGTCAAAGGTGATTGGATGGACTTTCCTTTTCCGTCAACCAATCACGAGTGCCGTAATTGAATGTTATCTGAAGCTTTTAAAACCGTGAGTGGTTTTCGGTACTGTAATTTATATGATACTGGGGGGATAGAATTTCTTCTTTTCATTTTGAGAGAAAAGGTTTCTCTTTCAAACTGCTTCAAGTCATCTCCAAATTTTGCACATGCAGACTAGCATCCTTCCTTAAGGCCACACCAATTTAATTTTTTGGTTAACGGATTCGCCCACTTCATTTTTTTCTGATTTGCAAATAAAAATAAAAATCCAGAATCAACTGCAAAATGCTCATATTTTGCTCTGAACAGTTGAAAACAGTCCTTTTTCTCCTAGTTGTTACAGTTATTCCATCTTTCAATGCAGTGGTATCATTAAAAGTTCAAAATTCATTGTTTAAATTTTGAACCAGCCTGGTGTGTTGACTTCATGGCTCCTATCATACCATTTGGGCCATATTAGGATGCCTAGGCCTGTTTTTATTCTTTTTTTTTTCGCCCGCCCGCTCCATTATTTTTCTAGAACAATCCGTTAACCAAGAAATTAAATATGTGTGGCCTTACCTGACAGCATTATAATTTATAGTCATTGTTTTATCTAATTTTTTGATAGATGAATTTGACACACACGGAACTGGAGAACTACATTGATACGGGCTGTGAACACATCATCATGCAGCTTGCGTATTGTCCCCAATTCCTCCTCCGTGGGTATTTACGCGGCTCTAGGTAACTGGACCGAGGGAAAAGCCATTGATTCCAGCCCAAAGAATCTGATTGCAACGGGGATCCTCTGATTGCAAAACAGCGATTGTTCCAGAGAAAGGCAATACCAGACAAAGACTGGACAAAAGGGATACAGTTGCCGACCCAGATGGCTCCGTCACACTTCCGCGCTTTTCCAAATGGTTTTTCCTGCAAGCATCATCAGAGATATAGCACCGTTTTCATTGTACCGTGTTTGTATTGAACAACCCGCCAAAATTGTTCTCTGGCAGCCTTCCGTAGCAATCAGCGGAACAGAACAAAAAGATTTATGGATTCTTTTCCCGCTTGGATGACTTGGGTGGGGAAAATCGTTTAGAAATGGGTTTGTCTAGCAAGCTTGAGACACTGTTATCAGAGATATACAGCTTTTATATTGTAGTGTGCTCCAAAAGGGAGGATATTATGATAATAGCTACTCTAAAAGGGACACATTTTACTGCAGTTGGTCAACAAAAGAGATAAGACTGATATCTTCATTACCATTTTTTTGCGAAAGACAAAATTAACACTCAGTTTAACAGATATGTCAATAAAAATCAAGAACAGCTGTTAATATAATATGTGTCATGTAAATATCAACATTATAGTACTTTTGCTTTGTGTGTATGTAGATTGCATGTATCACAATAGAGAATAATTTCATTTTTGAGGTACATATTAGTCTCATAATTTCAGAATTTACTCTTATTGTCATGTTATTGGAACACAGACTGATTAAAAAGATGATTACATATTATGTAGATTGCATGTATAACAATGAGGCAGACTTTTATTTTTCAAAGCTGCATTTTTACATTTCAACAGCACACCTGTCCTAGGCAGTTGCGTTAAAAGAATGCTTTCTGTAAATTGGCTTTTAACCAAATATAGCCTTCTGGGATTGGTCAATTTCTAACTGTCAATCACAGAGGTAGGAAGAGCAGAAAGGTGTAGCTGCAAAGTGGTTGGTGGCTTGACGGAATGTGGGGAAAAATGTTACGGCATTCTTTGATACTGTTTGTACAACAGGTTTTCGCTGTAACGTTTGTTGTGCAATGTTTCTGGATAAGACGTTAAGTCGAATTGTAGGTCGCTTATAATCTAAACAGAAATAAACACGCCCTGCTGCCTCTGTGGACGTAAGTTTTCAAAATATTTTAGCCCGAAGGAGATGTGAGGAATTTGGGAGTCCATTTGTGTCTACCGAAACCTTCTGTTGTGTGGGTCTTTGTAAATCTTTCGCTTTCGTAACCTATAATTTAAGTTGTTTAGCAGCTAGGCTATCAAAGAAATGCTTTGTTTATATGTTGTCCTTCTCGTTGTTTGTAAACAAAGACAGAAAAATTACATCTTTTGCCACCTAGATGATATTAAGGAAGGTGAGGTACACTTAAGGTGGTGAGAAATTCTAAGTTTATTCAATTTTGTTTCTCAAATTGTATTATGTGATTTGATTACTTTTTGTATTGACTTGTCATTTTATTGGTATGGCGGCTTTGAAAAGGTGTTTCATGTCAGAAACACCTGTTTCGCCATGCCATCCACAGTGCATATTGTACGTGGTAAAACTTAATAAATAAATAAATGAAATCTCAGGTGGCAAGATGGTTTTGTTTTATCTAAAGGTTCTGGGTTCGAATCCCTAGCTGGCCCCAATGTTGTGCCCAGTTGGGATAGGTATTTTACAGTTATCTCCTCACTGAACTCTGATGAAAATGAGTACCTAACTTCAGACAGAAATGTCCTTTCATATGGGACATGAAGCCAGAGGTGCTATGTTTTGGGGAACGATGCACCTTAGGCAAGCACGTCGGCAGAACGTACTGCACCTGTGCGAAACCCGTAATGTATTGTACATAGCACTTCGGCAGAATGTCTCATATAAGGTTGTATTCGCTCATATAAGGTTAGCATTTCGACAGTAGTTTCCAAATGTTGTGTCGGAAAGAATATCCTCTGCAACAGGCAAAACTCTGATGCAACGTTGACCAAAAACCCAACCAAAAACGCGAAAATGCGGGGTTCTGCGCAGGCGCAGTACGTTCTGCCGACGTGCTCCTTAGGCAGATTCAAGATCCCATACTTATCGAGAAGGGTGGGTTTCCCCAACTTAAGCCATTTTAATGATGATACAAAAAAACAGCATACCTTCGTCCCTATCTGTTGCAGTGACAGTGAGAATACTGGTTCCAGTGGGCACATCTTCGGAGATATCATCAGCGGTGTAGCGGTCTGGGTCAAACACGGGAGGGTTGTCGTTCAGGTCCTTCACGTTGACGTAGACGGTGACAGAGCTGGCGCGGCCGCCGCCGTCCTGGGCCTGGACCGTCAGCACGTAATGCTGCGTCTGCTCGTAGTCCAGCGGTCGTCTGAGGATAATGACTCCTACAGGGGGGATTATAGCACTGTGTTAGCAACTTCAACTTCAATAGTCAAAGGCATGGTCACACAATGATCTTAATGGTGTTTTTGTAACGCTCTACGGAAAAGGGCTTGCGGGCCCACAGTAAGTGTTTTTACACGCACCAGTTTTGGGAGTGATGTCGAACATCCCCTGGTTCTCATCAGTGATAGAGTACGTGATGTCTGCGTTGCTTCCTTCGTCCGCGTCTGTAGCCGACACGAAGTTCACCTCCGAGTTCACGGCGGCGTCCTCCCTGATGTCAAACGAGTACACGGAGCGGAGGAACTGCGGCGCGTTGTCGTTGACGTCGGTAAGCGCGATGCGGACGTCTATCGTGGACGCCTGCTGTCCGTCGCTGGCTTGTACCGTGATGGAGTGAGTGGGCGACTGTTCGCGGTTTAGCGGTCCCTTGGTTCGAACCTCTCCCGTGTCAGAATCCACACGGAACTGGTTGTTGTCCCCGGCAATGATGCTGTAGAGGACGACCGCGTTACTCCCAACGTCAGCGTCGTTAGCGACCACCGTGGTGACCAGTCCGCCGCTCGCGAGGTCCTCGGGTACGCTGATGTCGCGGTAGTCCGTGTCGAACAACGGAGTGTTGTCGTTTTCATCCTCAAGAGTGATGGTGACCTGTATAGATGAGAGAAGAAAGAAACTTTTAATTAGTTTATAAGATATTCCAATTATTCTTCAGTGTTCGAAATACCTGTCTGCAGTCTGCAATTTGCAGATAGATTTTCAAGATTGCAGAAGAAAAATTTATACAATCTGCAATTTTGCAGCAGGAAAAATTGGCACTTGGGATTTGGTGCTCTTGGCCCAAAGGACAGACAACACTTAAGCTCCTGTTCTGAAACAACAGGAGCTTCTTCACTAATTTACATCAACCTTGTCTTGACTTGTTTATCTTTTGTTTCCTTTTGGACTTCCAAAAATTTGTCTTCACTAATTTGCATATCAATCAATAGTTCATGCTTATAAACTTGCAAGATCGTAGTATACAATAGAGGCTTGTGTATTTGTAGAAAGTATTTCCAAATTGCAGAACAAAATTTTGACTCTTCTGCAATATTGCAGAGCACTGAAAAAAAGTATTTTGACCACTGTTCTTTAATCAGTTCGCTCTAAAATCCGTCAGTTGTTACTTTGGCTAAGCAAAAGACTCATAAAAAAACCTTTATACTTTATCTTACGAGTTCAAAAAACAACAAGTTTTTAACCGAAACCTGTATGGACCTATCTTCAATAACTTTTTTTCAAGTTTCCAACCAGCAACATTTTTTTATGTGTATTAGAAAGAGAAAAGCTCCAGCCCTCCCCCCAAAAACAATATAAATCCCTACTAGGTCTAGCTTTATAGGCATTTGGTGCCAGCTGGCTACGTACATGTAAATCATAACATACATAGAACACATAATCTCTCCATAACTAACTCAAAACCTTATTCAAAACTATCTAAAGTATTATCCCTATAGTATTCCCTGACCTCAAACTCATACTACTAGTTATGCATACCTAACCCAATTTTAGGTTCAGGTCCGGATTCAAGTCCAGAGGTTTAGGTTCAGTTCCGGACTTGTAAGTCCGGACCTAAACCCATGGCATATACAAAATTGCATGTTGGCAACCTTGCAATGTTGTCTGGGTGAAACTTTGGCCACATAACATGGAGGCCAGTACTTGACGATGCCTGAATTTCGGCAATGTTTTCTTCGTTTTGCAGCAAAGATTTTACAATCTACGGAAGGTTTTAGGTGGTTTGGAAAGAAAAGGGGTATGTGAAATGGTCTTTTATGGTAATAAGTCTGGACTCGGTTCTTGACTTTTAGGTTTTTTTGGACTTGAACCTAAACATTCTTACAAGTCCGGATCCAAGTCCAGTGAACCCGTATGCATCACTACATACTACCAGCCTCCTCCCACCTGTTCCACTATGGTTTTCCCCTGAGACCCCGACACTCCCTATTTATTTTCCTAGCCTGCCTATGGTCCACTCCCATGACTGTGTTTAGGCTGGGCCTCGCAGCTTGCTTAGTAACAGAGTAGTCATAAGAATAACATATCTGGCTAAATGTCCCCCGTAATGGTTACCATGTGCAAAAATACAGTTCAGAATATACATTCCAACTCAAATTTCCCATAGCCTCAGATGTTCGATTTTAGCTTGGTCTGTGAGAATCGACTCGGAACAAAAACATCTTCAACCTCTGCTGATGCATTCCACAGAAGAAATATTACAGATATTTTTCTGTACTGAGCCTTTCCAGTAGCTTATGCTAGCAGACTGCCCCCCCCCCACCATTCCCAAAGGGAGAGGCATTACCTAAAATGTTTTAGAAACTTTTGCTTGTGTTTTTCTTGGTTATCAATGCTTTTTGTCAAATTCACACTCCTAAATTAGGCTCTACGGATAATCCTGATAAGCTGGTGAGATAGTGGTGAGCAAAGCTCCCCAAGCCAGTGCCGTTTGATAAAGGTTGGTACAGGCTGGCACTGTGGTCTACAGCATACATGTAGGACTTAATCATGCACAAACTTTGTGACAAAGAAACTGAAGGTTTTTATATTATCTACTCCAGTACACTGGTTAGAGTACAGTAACTACAGCTTACATTATATATACAATGTATAAGCTATGCCCCTGTACGTACATTGTCACTCTCTCTCTCTTTCTCTCTCTTTCTCTCTCTATCCAGTTTAACATCTTTTTTTCCCCGAAACTGGGGGTTAGACGTACTTGCATCAAGTGCAAGTCTTTTTTGAAGCAAGATTTTTTTATGGCTGGATGCCCTTCCTAACGCCAACCCAAACCCTAGTAGGGCCCAGGATCCCCCAACTTTCCTCAGACCATGCATATGGTTGGGAGACAGTTGTGAGAAAGGGTATCCATGGTTGGTTGGCAAGGTTGTCTTCGGTACTACACTAAATCTATAGGCATAATCTATGCCAGCTATCTATGAATTTCAGTTGGAAGTGGTCAGGAAAGTCAAATTATGCTTGGACGCAATCAGAGAAGCGAACAGGACTTTCAAGTAGAATGGGATGGATTCCAGGCTAATCCCAACCTATAGCTACCCAGGGAGTGGTCAGGAACTAAGTCATAGCTGTAGGAAGGTTCAAAATGTGTGACAGAGGCTTTATGCAATAGCTTATATTGTGTGTGTAGTGTGTAGTGGCTAACAACCCTGCATACGAATCACAAGGTCTGAATCCTGTGCAACCAGTTGGCTTTCTGAATCAACATTTGCATGCTATGAAGCAATGCTATCGCTTACAACTTGTGCCACATCGCGTAAAAAAAAACCCGAGCAACATGTATTGATTTCTACGCCCTACCAACACTACCTCCACCAATCTGTCATACTGAAAAGTATTCATCGACCAGGGAGTACCAACCCGCGATAGCTAAACCACATTTTACCGACTGACCCCGCCACGACCCTAACTGGAACCCAGGCTCCAGCAATTTACTGTCAAAGCTTCTCTCATCACGGGGAGCCACCTGGAAGCAGACCTTGCTTGACAGTTTGGGGATGAGGGAAAATTAGAAGTGCTTCCCCACAACCTTGTCAGCGACGATTTATGTCCAGCCATGGATGGAATGCGATATATGTTTGGGCCCATGCTTGGGCTTCGCGTGGGATATATTTTTTTTCCCCCTCCACAATCTAGTGGTAAATCCCAAAATCATTGGTCAGTTTGAAATTTAGAGTCGTTTCATCTTGGCAGTTATCATTTCAAATTTTCAGTGTGTATTTCCATAAAAGCTCCCCTCTATCACAAATTGGACTGCTCCAGTGACCCTGCTCCTAAGTTATCCGTCACAAAACAGGCTTGATCATTCATCTTCCGTCCTGTTATAAACCTATATTAAACCACATAAACCCATAGAAAGTGGTCATTTCAGGGATAATAAAGGTCTCCCACCAACAGATGAGAGCTCCTGTTATTCCATCCATGACCCCGTGACCTCATATCTTATCGTCTAATACAGGGTCCGCTGCGTATGTTAATCCAGTTATGGGAAGTTTGGTTTGAATTTTTCTTCCTTTCAGCCTGATTTCGCGCTTATACTTTGTCTTTGGGATTTGCCAACTGTGAATTTCATTGTGAATCAAAGTACATTCATTGAATTTCATTCACACTAATCAGATTTTAGGCTCAACTCAATTTAGTTCATAATAAGGAAGATATTAAAAAGAAAATTAGGCCCCAAACCCTAGTATGCTGTTTCTGTGGTAATACATGTTTTTAAAGCAGTTACAAGACTCGGAGATTATAAGGTAGTGAATTCAAGCAATTCTTTTCTAAAAAAAAAGTTTTAATACTTTCGCTACCAGGCAGTAATAATAAAAGCATGAAAGGGTTGGCAACCCATACCAAAGTAAATTAAATTTGAAGACTTAAATGGCCTTTCACACGATTTTGTTGCCATGACAACCCATATATATTATGACATACACATTCTAGATCTAAGCAACCGAGAAAGTGCCAGAATCCTTCAGTGATAGTCCCACTATGGGCACAGTGGCATGAGCATTGCTCAAATGGTTCAAGTCATTACTGACTATTAAGACCGTGTTCTCTCAGTTTAATTAGATTGTACAACACATACAATAGCACTTAAGTCTCAACATAGATTTCTCACTAGGATCTGGAAAACAAGAGGATCAGTGTGGATTGAAATGCCGCAGGTACGATGCAGTTTTAAGTGCATCGTACCTGTAAGAAACACTGTTGGTGCACGTGAAAAACTTGCTAGCTAGCAATTAGGCCACAGCAAGTAATTTTCATGGATGACATCAGCGTGTGCATTAACTTTCACCTGATTTTGAAAAAAAAAAAAAAATTTTGTTGCCTTCTGACAGTGGTCAACATGCCGAAAATGGGCAAAGATGTCTGTTGCCATGCCGGAACGTGAATGGCAGATAACTATGAAGAGAGGAGAGGAGAGAGGCTCTGATTATTTTTACTTTGATGCAGTGATATGTGATGCTGGCTGTGTATATGTGATGTTCCTACTGAATCAAAACCATTTGTACAATCATGAGTCAAAATTTTAAAATGTAGGAACCTTGTTTTTTTTTGGCCTGTTTTTTTTTTCGTCCGGTCGCATTAGATTTGGAGTCTGTGGAGGATGTCATCCATAAAATTTACTTACTGTGGCCTTAGTGCTAGCAAGTAGGATCATTAAAAGTTGTGAAAACATTTTTCACTATTCTGCAATTTGGAACGGGTAAATTTATTCCAACAATTTCTTTGCTGACGCAACCAAAAATTCTTAGGTGCACAATAGATTTAAAACTTACTTCCACCTTAATGTACTTTTAAGTCTGTTCATACACTTCATAATCAAAATTGCTCTTAAATCTTTGACATTACCAATATACCCTAGTGTAACGTATTACAAGGATTATATTAGTATATTCTTCCATCAGGATTTACTGTTAGTAATCCATTTCAAGCTTTTCTTTTTAGGCCACACCAAGTAAATTTTATGGATGACGTCCGCGCGCGCATTGATTTTGGCCTGTTCCTAGAAAAAAAAAAAATTCCGCTTCCTGTAACTATGACCAAAGAGTCACGACAGTGCCGCAAATCGTCAGATTGACGTGAAACCCGTAACGCGAAAACAGGACAGGACGACAACTGTTATTCCACCTGATTTATTGCTGTTTTGATGATGAATAAAAGACTTCTTGCTTGTTACACTGTGTCACCTCATTCAATTTGTGTCCTAACATTTGTCGTCTCTTAGTATATTTCTAATCTAGGCAATCTTGTTTTTACTTAGGGCCCTTCTTGGTTTTTTTCGCCCTCTCGCATTAGATTTAGGGTCTCCAAAGGACGTCATCCATAAAATTTACTTGGTGTGGCCTCATTCCTACCTGGGTGAGTGATTGAGTAGGTAGGCAAAATTTACTCGGTATGAATTGTGGCGCCATTTTGTTGCCAATCCACAGCGAGGGCTTCCAGGCAATAAATCTAGGATGCCAATTTACGGATTCAATTTCACCAGGCGCGGCAGGGCACAAATCAGTTACTATATCTGTACACTGTGTGCTTTGCTGAAAAATTGGTTTAACTGGACTTCCATTTTTCTAAAACTAACACTGTAGAACTAAGGCCACACCAATTTAATTTCTTGGTTAACGGATTCGCCCGCTTCATTTTATTGTGATTTGCAAATAAAAATAAAAATTCAGAATCAACTGCAAAATGCTCATATTTTACCCTAAACAGTTGAAAACAGTCCTTTTCATCCTAGTTGTTACAGTTATTCCATCTTTCAATGCAGTGGTATCATTAAAAGTTGAAAATTCATTGTTTAAATTTTGAACCAGCCTGGTGTGTTGACTTCATGGCTCCTGTCGTACAATTTTGGGCCATAATAGGATGCCTCGGCTTGTTTTCATTTTTATTTTTTTTCGCCCGCCCGCTCCATTATTTTTGTAGAAAAATCCGTTAACCAAGAAATTAAATTGGTGTGGCCTAATGTAGACCTATATTTTTTTTTCAGTTTTCTTTGAAATGTCTTATTGCCCTTTGCCCCATATATATGGTAAGGTATTTGCTTTGTTACTGACTCATGTCAGAAGAATTGTTGTCTGCACTAAGCTTTGCCAGCGCCCTTAAGACTAACTTCATGGTACTAACAAATGTATGAATGTACACCTAGCTAGAACTCTAGAAAATACAGTAGACAATACCTCTAAAGCTAACCATCCAATACATCCAGTAGCTTGTCTTTAATAAAGTTTTACAAGAAACTAAAAAAATACAAATAAAACTTAGGCCAGATTTAGACTAGAAACGGTATACCGTTTCGAAACGGTACGAAACGTTTCACCACAGAAAACGGTTCGTCTTTAGACACAGAGGCGGAAGCGTTTCGGGCCGCCCGTGGCACAGGATGTTTCTGACCCACAGTGACCTATGATGACCTCCCCGAGCCGCTTCTACCGTTTGCCTCATTGGCCTTATGATACTTGTGTTTCAGGGCCTTGAACTTCGCCCGAACCTGCTTTGGGGTGCGTAAATACCCCTCAGCCGCCAGCCCGTCCACAAGCATCTGTATGCCCTCTTTATTACGCGAGGTCTCCAAGCGGGATTGTATAGTTTGATCGGCCCACAAGCTGATCAAGCAGCGGATCTCTTCTTGGGTCCAGACCCTCCCCTGGCCTTCTGCCATCCCCCCAGACATAAAGGATGACGAAAATTTGAGAAATACATGATATAAAATGGCGAAAATGGACACAATCGAATATGGCGCGAATCTACCAGAAAATGGACGCGCGCGGGCTTATTAGCATGTGATTAGCATATGACACGTGACCTGGTTTACCGTTTCAAGAAACCCTTTGACTTTAGACCTAGCAAAAAGCGTTTCGGGCCCCCCGCTGAAGGGTTCTGAAACGGTCGAAAACGGAAACGGTCCGCGAAAACCCATAACAAACCGTTTTTTCCTCTTTAGACCGGGAACGGTGAACCGTTCTGAAACGTTTCCCTGGCCAAAACCCCTTAAGCGTTTCTAGTCTAAATCGGGCCTTATTGGTGCACCAATAGTCTGACATGACACAAGAGAGAAACTGCCAATTCTACTTTTAATTAGATTCTAAATTTGTACCATCAAGTTTTGCATACTGATGTCGAGAAGGTATTAAGAACTGTCAAACTGATTTAGGATAGACTGGCTTAACTATAATATCCCTGTTTGGGACCTATTGTCACAACTGCTTCTGAAGCCCTATAAAACATTTTCCTGAATGACATTAAACCTTTGAACACTTTGAAATGGATTTTATCCAAATTATGTCCAGTTCATTAAATCATCAAGTCTACCTTGACCGATGACATATCCTACCCAAAGGATCACTTCTTGTGAACAAGTTGCTCGATTCTTAATTTGATACCATCTACGGAAAGGTGACAGAAATCCTGAAAAGACGAGGATTGACCCCTCCTAACTCATCCCCTGAAGGTGTGGGGATATCTCATAAATCAGAAGAGTTGTCCTTTCAGTGGCAGTTCCCCCCTCGGGCGATTCTCAACAGGTGTCTGATCCTGGGAACTCACCTGGGCTACTGTAAACTCACTTATTTTTGCAGGGACTTTTTTAAACAGTTGGAAGTAAAAAGGAGGTTTTCGCTGTGTTATAAGTTTGCAGTTAAAAAATTCTTTAGTGGTAAGGCCACACCAATTTAATTTCTTAGTTAACAGATTTTTCTAGAAAAATAATGGAGCGGGCGGGCGAAAAAATATATAAATAAAGGCCTAGGCATCCTATCATGGCCCAAATGGTACGATAGGAGCCATGAAGTCAACACACCAGTTCAAAATTTAAACAAAAGTTCAAAATTTAAACAATGAATTTTGAACTTTTAAAGTTTTAATGATACCATTGCATTGAAAGATGGAATAACTGTAACAAGTAGTAAGAAAATGACTGTTTTCAACTGTTCAGGGCAAAATATGAGCATTTTGCAGCTGATTCTGAATATTTATTTTTATCAGCAAATCAGAAAAAAATGAAGCAGGCGAATCCGTTAACCAAGAAATTGGTGTGGCCTAATACAAGAGAAAACGTATCATGAATTTGCTGTGGAAAGGTTTACTGCTAAAATCAAACAGTTTACTGCAAATATTTCAAGATTCACAGTAAATATTAAGTAAAGACTGAAACATTCTTGTCCTTACATTGTGGACCTCTGATACTAGTGATAGAATTTCTCCAGAAATGTATAAGTTATGACAAAACCAAAGATGCAATAATATCTAGAAGTTTTCTATCAAATAACATGTCAACACACAAGTCAGCCACATTTTTAGGTACAAGTAAACTGTATTGAATTCTCACATGGTATTCTTGAAATAATTTTTTTGTAACAAATTTGGTATGGAAGATCCCAGACTAGAAGCCAGAAGCTATGGTCCTTCCATTTATATCATGACAGGAAGGGATTAAAAGGGATTATGGATGGATTATCCACTCACAGCTAATTTCTAGTCCCAGCAGGAGCCTAATTTCATAGGCGTAAGTCTAATCCGCGTAGATGCAACCTGTTACTATTCTGTTTCAAACTGTGAGAAACTTGCATTTATGCAAGACTGACAAGGAATTAGTAGAAAAAAAGCATTTTTCCTGTTAAATAACCTTGTAACTTCTGATCACTGGTGTAGAAACCTGTGTATTCCGTAACTAAAAAGCTAATGAACTGACTAAATGGAAATTATAAACCACTGGTCTGGAAACAAGCTAAAAGAAAAAAATTCCATGGCAATTACTTTTTTTTCAAATACTTAAGGGGTTGGAAGTCATTTCATATCAAAGAAAAACTGAGAATGTTAGACAGAATTACAACTGAATTTGTTTAAAGTGAAAACTTTTGGTCCAACATAAAAAATTCTCTCACCTAGAGCTTTCAACCAGTCACTTTGGTCTTCCTCAGTAGACTGAGTGACCCAGCTTGTCACATGGCTTTAAACATGTAACTACCAAAACAGATGAACTTTCATGATAGTACAACTTGAACTACTACAACTGAATTTAGTGTGAACTTTTCATTGCCCCCCTCCCACCCTCAGTTCTATGCAGAGTGTACTGTGCTTTTCAAATGGCACGGACCGATGTACTTAACTCCTAGGGAAAGGCATTGGAGAGGAAAGTTGACAAGCTCTTCCCATGCAAGCCCTCACAAAGTGAAATCAGCCCCAAAGCCATACCAATTTAATTTCTTGGTTAACGGATTTGCCCGCTTCATTTTTTTCTGATTTGCAAACGAAAATAAAAATTCAGAATCAACTGCAAAATGATCATATTTTGCCCTGAACAGTTGAAAACAGTCCTTTTCATCCTAGTTGTTACAGTTATTCCATCTTTCAATGCAATGGTATCATTAAAAGTTCAAAATTCATTGTTTAAATTTTGGTGTGTTGACTTCATGGCTCCTATTGTACCATTTGGGCTGAAATAGGATGCCTAGGCCTGTTTTTATGTTTACCGAAGAAAATGGTAAACATATTGTTTTTGCTCGGTTTCCTCTTCCTCCTCCTCCTCCTCTTCCTCCTCCTCTTCCTCCTCTTCTTCTCCAAACATATAAAAAACAGCAATATCTCCATAACTACTGGCTGGGAACACCTGAAATTTGGTAAGGTGGTAGAACGGTACATAAGACATTGAACCTTGGTCATTTTGGGCAACATAGATGTCAAAATATGATTTTATTGGCAAAAAATGAGTGAAAAAAGTTGCATTTTAAGCCCCAAATGGAACTTTAGAACCCATTTAGAACCCGTTTAGAATTTTAGAATCGCGTTCCAATTCGGGGGTTCGATGACCCCCGGGTGAACGACCGCGCGGCCTTTGGAACACGCCATCCAGGCGGGAGGGGTAGGGAGAATAAAACACCACACCAAAGAGCACTTAGAGAGAGAGATGAGAAGCGTCATTCGAGATACGGTCACTATTTCGATTTTATTTACGGGAAAGCACATTCTTCTAGTGAAGGTGGGTGATCTTGCACCAAGGTGAAGCCGCCGGTGGTGTCCAGTCCCCCCAGATACATCGAAACCATGGCGTCTCCTGCCGTGGACATACGCCGCAACCAGCTTGAGAGATGCCCGCCAACTTCCACGGTGAGTTGTGCTCCTTCAGTGTAAAATATGGCCAGAAGTACGGCTTCCACGAGTAGGGACTGTTGTTGTGAGCGTTTGGGATTGATTCTGACCGGTAGAAATGTGCACAGCGTACGCGTACCGAAGCGTACGTGTTTAGCTGAAGTCTTGTTTACATAATTTCTACCTAACGATGTACTGTGTAGTATCACGTAACTCGGGCGGGTTTAGCCCGAAAAATACCGTCAAAACTTCTAAAATATTCGGGTGTGGATCATTTTGGGCAGAACCTTACCGAACATTTGGCGTTTTTTCCGTAGATTTATTGATTACACTATCGATATGTCCCTTCCGTCATCACAGTGGGGAGGGGGGCGTGTGTGATTCTAACGGCCTCCGTTTTTCTGTCAATGGGGATTTTTCAATGTCATCAAGATAGAACGCTAAAAACACTAGAAAGGCCGACAAGGTCGACATTTGCGTGGGAGCAAATACAGCATATTTCAGTACACCTCCATCCCACGCAAAAGTGGACTATTCCAAACTTACTCCAGTGCAAAACTGGAGGATTCTCAAAATATATACATGTATATTATAGATAGATTACACACTAACTACATTGTATGTAATTGAGGACAAAGATGCAAGAACAAGCACTTATAAGCACTTATATTTTCCTTGGTATATTCTAACTTTAAAGCAATTTCCATGTAATCCCATGTTTAGGTGTTCATTACTGTATTGTTGTCTGTAAATAATTTTTGTTTCCTTTTCTTTCAAGGGTCAAGCAGTTAGAAGATCCTGCACAGAACATACAGCAGGTACATATAAGCTAGTGCTAAAAAGGAAATAGAATGATTTTCTATTGAAACTGTCTAAGTACAAATAGACAGTAGATAATGGTGGTGTCAGCTTCAAGTTGTAGTGTAAAGACTATATTATGAATAATAAGAGCAAAGTATGCAGATGTTTTTTATCACTTAAGCCAAGTTAAGGAATGACTTAGTCACAGTGTATAATTTCTGTGATCTATGTTTCTGATCAGCTTTAAAAGACAAAATCATACTCTCCTGTTTCTATCTTGCAGATTGGACCTCATGTAAGGAAGGAAGCAGAGCTTGGTCCAGAAGAAACTGACTGGAGAGGAACAGGACTGACCTGGACCCAGCCATCCACAGAACGATACAGCAGATTGTGACCATTTCTAAAAACACTTGTACCATTCTGATTTCTTTCCAGTACGTAAATATTAGATACGTATGTTAAGTTGCATAGTATATGTAAGAAATGTATATTTTTTTCAATATGTATGTATAGCTTCGCAGTGTATGGAAAAATTATGTATGGCTTTATAGTATATGTTACAGGTTTGTTTTATGTATTATGCATGTTTAGTTTTGTAGTACTTTATACATGTATAAGCCATGTATAGTCTCCATTTTTTGCAACTAGAGTTTAAAATGTATAAAATCTCATCATAATTATTATCTACATACCTGCAATAAGATTGTCAAATAAAAGTTAAGTGCCATATTTAAGTAAAATGCTGTTCAAATTCGTACTTGTAATTTTCAATAGCGTAACAAGATTGTAAGACAACTGTAAGGTTTCAAATTGTTTAATTAAAGCTGTCAAGATACATTCAATGTGTACATGACTTATACATGCATCTTTCCTCTTAATTGCAAACATAATGAGAGTGTGTGCTGAGTGAATCATTTTTAACTTCATCCCTGGCCTTACAAGGGCAAAAACATTATTCAAATCCCCCAGTTAATGTTACTCTATAAATAAGTATAATCTTAGTAGTTAAAAGTTAGCAGTATAAGCAAAGTATGCTTCCACCCATCCTTCCCAATAAAGGTATAAATGGTAGGTGACTCCATCCTGAGGTAAACATCTTGCATTTGCTTGCAAATGTTACCTTTCTAGTTATTTTTTATTTTTTTCGCCGCCCGCTCCATTATTTTTCTAGAAAAATCCGTTAACCAAGAAATTAAATTGGTGTGGCCCAAGTAAACTGCAAAGGTCCTCCAACAAACAGCCACCACTCCGACCGAACAATACGCCGTCCTCAAACCCTTTCACAACATTGCCGGGGAAACCTGCAGCTTTCCCAAAACGTTCTGTTTACGCACTTTTAGCGCCCGCGATGACAAATGTTCTCCATAACCCTGGTACTAAAAGAGATCATCAATTTGCAGGCAAGCTTAACAATATTTTCTATAGGGATATGATGTCGGTAAGGCTTGTAGCCCCCCTCCCACAATTGTCTATTTCTCTCTGATCTTTGGACAGATGATTGTATGTCTTGTACTGCTGTCAGCTGACCTCTGCACTCTATATTTTGACGGCTTCTTTTGAAATCTTTGAATTACCAAAGAAACACCAAAGGCAACATACTTGCTTGGGGTAACAATTGAATTGTGTCTCTAGCATAACAGTATGATGCCATTCTATCTCTATCCATTTTTTAAAGACAGCTTTCCTATCTCTAGTTTTTCCCTGAACATTTATGATCATAAATTCACCTTTCACTCGTTCCAAGTCAAGGTTTTCTTTTAAATCATAACTATATATCAAGATATTGGTATGTCAACCTTACATACCAAAACATGTACTTTGCAATTTGTCATGATGACATTTTTATCATCATATATTTACACTTAATATTGAGCTACTCTACATGATAGTAACAGAGCATGCATCCCTGCTTTGACCAAATCATTATGCACCGGTAGCCGAGCTTAATAGGTCTTTACAGAAGCTAAACGAGGTACCATAGGTCAGGCAGATAATTTTAATTACACCCAACAATGTCTAAAATGTGTGCAAAGGCCTGACCTAACACTGTGATAAAGAAGGGCAAACAACAAAGGTACATGTGTAATAAACTAAGGAGGTTTACAAACACAGCTTTTCATCGGTGCGAAAAATCCGCGTCTGGTCACGTTTTATTATGCTTGCCTCTGAAGTCGTGTGTGTGCATAGGTTTTGACGAATGTGGCGTGCCCGCTGTCACCAAGTGACGTCATGTCCCGAAGTTTCAGTTATCAAAACTCCCGCCTGTAGAACACAATTGCAAATATGTCCCCCCCCTCTGGTATTTGAGTACCACCCTCCGCAGCCTGACAGTCAAAATGGGCCTGTTTTCAAGAAGAGCACGCAGGTAAACAAACTCTCCGATACTGAATAGAGAAAGAAAACAAGCCATAACATACCTGAGTACAGAAACCCGATATACCCCATATGACCCTCTTGGGGTGTAGTTTCTACCTTCTCATTGGCTAGCTAAAAATCTAACCCCTTTGAAAAGACTTGAAGTGAGAAAACAAATACGCCGTGAATGGGCAGCTAGGGGTGGAGAGAATGTTGCAGGGAAGATTTGGTTTCCTCAGACCTACATTTCTGACGGAATTCTTACACGTTCTAACAATCGCGTACGATGTGTGAAAAGCAAACTTCGTAAAGATTTTTGCTGTTGGAGCTCCGCAGGTGGACTGGGTAATCTGTTTGTGGTGTCCACCAATCGAGAAACGCGGTGCTAATCCGCGCATTCCTCCCCCCGTGGCAACATTTTAAGCCGGGATCAGTTTTCCGCCATTGTTTGTGTCGGGGGAGAGCCTCGGCAACAATGCCGCCCTCTCGGAATGGCAACATCCGCAAGATTATCTATTTTGTCCACAACTTTTCTCCCGATTTTCGCTGGTACGCTGTCACAACAGAACTTCGGATGAGCCCTAACACATGGCCCTTACTGTCCATCACTAACAATAACGGTATCACCTGAAACCAACACCTAAATGTGCACACAACAATAAGCTTAGATAAAATCTCTGGTTAATGAGCTACCTGCAATACAGTACCGTTCGCGTTATAGTTACCCTAACGGCCGTTACTAACGCGTTTTTTTTCCGTTACTTTTCCGTTACTTTTCCGTAAGTTTTCCGTAACTTTTGCGTAAGTTTTCCGTTACTTTTCCGTTACTTTTCCGTTAGACTTCTGCATTCATATGCAGGCCGCGGTAACATCACAGAATAATGGGAGGAGTACTAATTTACCTCATGCGGGGCGGGAAATTACCGATACACACCGCTGGAACAGCGGAAGGAACGTTGATCTAGCCTGCATTTTACTATATTGTAACGTTTAAAACGTTTTACGATCACCGGCGCAATTCAATTTGATAGACATTTTCTTTTGTCACTGTTGCCCAGGCAAGCGTTTCTATAGTTTGTCAACTTTGTTTTGCTGTTTTTCTCTGTTAACTTATTTTACCACCGAATAAGCAAACCTACAGTAGATGATCTGAAGTTATAAATGCCCCGGTCCGCCGTACATACATGTAATAGGCGGCGGGCGTGAGGTAACGTTAGGGATGTGCAAAAACATCGTGGAAAATTCCTATGACACTCGAAAAAAGGCAGCATATTTACACGTGCCCACCAACATTTTTATGGCTAATTATTGACCAGTTTTGGGGAGTTTTGTTATGTCCTTGGAGTTTTGTTTAGAGTGGGACGGAAAGCCGTGCCGCCACTCCGACTCCATGCACTTCCGTGTTACATTACGTTGTATGTGACCAACAAAATTACGCCAAAGGCACAACAAATCCACATGTACATATATTTTTTTTCCCGAAAATTCTTTTGAGTACGCATTTCGTCACTAGGATGTTGCTAATTAGTCGTAGAAATAAGGTAGAAACCAGCGTAAATGTGGCTCTCTCGAGATCATTTCGCGCGGGGAAGGGCGCCCCAGCATGCAACGGGCTTCGTTCTAGCCAATCACAGCGCAGGTCATCTAAGGTGAACCAATCAGAGCGTAGCTACTTGCATATTATAATGAGCATGCTGCACACAGGGAGGCAGCGGCCAGGGCGACCGGCCCTGAGTGCGCGGGAAATGTGTTTTGCAACTATATTTTTACGGGGATTTTCTGACGTTTGACGCTGACTTTGGCACGATATGATCGCACTACCATGTACACGCTACCGTAGGCGGCAAATGAGTGGTCATTTTTATATAATCGTCGAGAAATTTTGGCGTTATGCACCCGGAAGTGAGCCGATCTCAGTTTGCGTTCCCTCGATTTTTGACAGTTTCCCCCCTACAAAATAAGAAACAAAACTACCGCTATTAAATAGAACCATGTATTACAATTATCATTTCAACATGATAGATCTATTATATATTCCTTTATTAACTATGATATCATCATGGTTGTGGTAAGTCCTCAGCTGGCGAACCGAGTCCTTGCGCCGGGAGTGACGGTACATTTTACCGTGAGTATTAAAGCCGCTAGTACTAGTAAGCCGCGCGCCTTACAAAAATTATAATAATTTTTCTTTTGAGTCAAAAACCGCCGTGAATTTAAGGCATGAGTTACCGATTTATATTTCTTCTACGGCAGATATTTCTTGTTTCGTCACGTCCCATGACGTCCTGTGAGAGCGGTAGGCCGCCGCTGGTACAAAATGTACAAGACATCGTCTGCCCACTGCTACACTTTGTTGACATACATTGTATTACACAACGTAATTTTCCGCTAGAAATAACTATAGAATAGCATTAAAAGATAGCACAATTCGCTTCACACAGTCGACACATGGATAAACCACAAAGTTATTTTACGAATCACATGTCCACTTGCCTCTGGTGCTGTTATTTTTCAAGGGGCAACATCGCAACACATTAGCGGACGCCCCAGGAGGTGGCAAATTGCTATTGTCTTGTCGGCGCGCAAAACAAACATGAAATCCGACCCTATCACATTAACGCAAACGGTAACGCGTTAGAAATAATTTCTGACGATTTTCTAACCATTTTCTGACGAAAATCTAACCAAATACTGACGATTTTCTAACCATTTTCTGACGAAAAAATAACTCGTTAGTAACGGGGTACCCGGTTAACTATAACGCGAACGGTACTGTAAATGCCCCTTCTTCCAGTGAGAAAGTGTTATATAAACAGCTGTACAAAGCTGTTTCTATAGACTCTAAACCAGTCTGTATGCACTGGGGCACATAGGAACCTTGACACATGGACTTACAATAGCGTAATGCAAAACATACACTTGCTTTTTATCTTCTATATTATCTACAAACTTCACAGCAACTGAGCTACAGTTTTGTTATAGATTTCAGTCCTTTCATAGAGCTTGAATTGATCGAACTGCAGCTATAAATGAGGGCCTGCAAGCCCTTTTTCGTCAAGCGTAATCAGGCCGTTTTAGACTTCGTAATTCGTAGGCAGCCTCCGCCAAAATCAACGTAATTCGTAATTGGACATTAGCCGCAAATCGTAAAGTCGTACTCAGCTCTGAGACTTAAACGTAAATCGTAATAGGCGGCGAAAATTTTGCGTAAATCGTAATCACTATCCCCCCTTGCAGGCCCTCATAAATGTAGTTCTAACCCTTCTCGTGTCAAAGCTTTGTACAACCAAACCTTAAAACATGTCTCTTCGATCTACTTTTAAAGATTTCGAGGTGTAAACTTTCAAACATGTCTGCTGACTCAATACACACAAGGAGATTCTATAGAAGCTCCTTGATACACACTAATCTAAAGGACCAAAACCTTAGAAGACTTCTTTCATTCCTGTCTAAAAAAGACGCCTTC